TTCCCAAAGTGGCTCCGGCAGCCTCCTGACCCCAAAGGGACCTCCAGGCCCTGCTCGTGTTCAAGGTGTCAAGGCTCCAAATAGCATCCAAAATTAAATCAGAGTCCGAGGCAAAGTATTGCTCAAAGTTCCAGTTTATTAAGAGAGCCATAATTGGCACATCTGGGGAAACCCGAATCTGAAAGCTTCCCGGTTTTCCCCACCCAGTTGAAAGCTCAAGATCTTGTCCCCCACACCCACAAGTCCATCCCATGGTCCAATCTCCCACTGCCACGCTGGCAGTTTCACCCATCCAGTTCCAGTCAGAGACAAAGGATGACCTTGGTTTTCTACACCGAATTTTGTTATGGCTACATAGCATCCAACTCCGTACAATCCTCCCCTCGCATTTTCCTGTAATAGAAAAGGCATAGCAGAATAATAGAAAGTGTGGCAGGCCAAAGATCCAAAAGGAATATGGCTGGCACAAGGTCTCCTTCCAAGCCATTCAGGAGAGGGCAGGAAGGAGAGACGGGCCGGGTGTTTCGCTCCACTGCCCATGGGAGCGGTCCCTGCTTGGGCTGCGGGAGTCTCGCTTGGGGCAGCCTGGAGGTTGGGCTTGGATCCTCTGTGGGCTCCTCACAATCCCCGCTCCTGCTGCCTCCACAGCCCCCTGCCCTACGAGGAGCTGACCCAGCTGATGGACGAGGCCTGCGAGAAGAACATGAACCTCTTTATCCTGACACAGGTAAGCAACAGCCGGAGTTTCTGCGGGGAGCCCCCCCTATCCCGCCGTGGCCGGGTCTGCTTAGGACTGCCTCTCCCTCTCTCCGCAGGAGATCATGGTCTACCTCGCCATGTACATCCGGACGCAGCCGGCCCTCTTTGCGGAGATGTTCCGCCTGCGCATTGGCCTGATCATTCAAGTGATGGCGATGGAGCTGGCCCAGTCGCTCTGCTGCTCGAGTGAGTAGGACCGCTGGGCCGATTGGAGGCTTCCTTCGTGGCCTCGGAGGAAGGGGGTGGGTTCAAGTCAGGGGCCTTTCAGGGGGGTGGAGGGGTGGGGAGAAACCGGTGGTTGATGAGCTCTTCCTTTCCTCTTCCTTCGGCTTCAGGCGAAGAAGCCTCCGAAAGTCTCATGAGCCTCAGCCCTTCCCATATGAAGAACCTCCTCCACCACATCCTCAGCGGCAAAGAATTCGGTGTGGAGAGAAGCGGTGAGCTGCTTGCCTCAGGCGGGGGCTGGGGAGGGGGGGTCCTCTGTGCACGGCAAGAGAGCCAGCCCAACCAGCTCGGGAATCCTGGGGGCTTGTAGCCCACCTACCTGAGCTCACCTGCTTGAAGGAGTTCCAGGAACCCCCGGCTGGCATTCTGAGTCTTTGATGTTCCGGCAGTGCGGTCTACGGATTCCACCCTGACCCCATCCGTTTCCATCCGGGAGTTCGGGGCTGTGGGAGCAACGAAGTCGGAACGCACTGGCATCGTCAAGCTCAAGAGTGAGATCAAACAGGTGGGCTGCTCCTGCCTGGCCTTCCTTGCCCTGGCAGGGGGAGGTTGGAGATTTTCAGAGGCAGGAGGGTAAGCGTGTGCCCCACCGGGACTGGCAAAGGGGGATTTCTGGAGAAGTTGCAGTGTTTCTCAGTGCTTGGCTTTAGATGGAAGAACCAGCCGTGGCTCTCATGCCATGTTCTCCTAGTGTTCTGGCTGTGGCTGCCACTGCTCTCTTCAAGGGGCTGCCTGAGTCTTTCTTTCCAGGCTGGGGCCCTGCATTCTTTGGAAGCCGGAGGGGGTCATGCCCAGGCGAGTCCTCTCCCCCTGAGTTGCTCGGCCACCGGCCGCTTCTGCGGGCACGGTCAACCCTCCGGCTTTTTCCTCCACAGTTGTCCGGATCCTCCCTGGCTCCAGGCAGAAGATATCCCGCTGAGGCCCCCATGGATTCCTCCACCAAGGATGGTCGCCAAGGGCAGTGGCTGCGGCGCCGGCGGCTGGACGGGGCCCTCAACAGAGTCCCGGTGGGATTCTACCAGAAGGTCTGGAGGATCCTGCAGAAGGTGAATGGAGTGGCATCTCCCCTCCCCTCCCCCATCTTGGCTGTCCAGCCATTGGGCCACCTGAGTGGAAGCTGCAAAGGAAGGAGGCCGCGGATAAGAGGAGCCCTGGGACGGTGCAGGCCGGCTGGGCAGCTCGTGTGGGCAGCTCCAGGCTCGCTCTCAGCTGCCCCGGAGGATGAGCAGGAGCTGGCATAATTGGGGCTGCAGGCTGGGCCTCCTGGCTGCCCTGAGAAGCTGTGGGAGCTGTGAGAATAGCAGCCTGGTCCTCCGGAGTGTAACCTTTCTCCTCTTCCCCTGCAGTGCCACGGGCTCTCCGTCGAAGGCTTTGTTCTCCCTTCTTCCACAACCAGAGAGGTAATGGCTGTACTGTCCCCTTTATCCTTAAAAGGGGTGTGTGGATTTCCTGCTCCCCAAACATTGTCCCTGCAGGGGCTCCCTCCACTGCTCCTTCTAGCCCAACCCCAGAGAAGCCCTTCTGGCTTCTGAGGAAGACTCCTTTCCTTCTTCTTGCCTTTGATCGGCTGCCTCGTGGCTATCGGGAGCCCTCCGTCCCTCCTTAAAAAGAGCCCCATTGGAGGGGCAGCTCGGCTCAAAAGAAGACTCCCTTTGGCCCTAGATGACTCCCGGAGAAATCAAGTTTGCAGTCCACGTGGAGTCCGTGCTGAACCGAGTCCCTCAGCCTGAGTACCGGCAGCTCTTCGTAGAAGCCATCCTGGTCCTGACGCTGTTGACGGATGTGGAGGGTCCCAGCCTGGGGGGCCTGGTAGCGGTGGACAGGATCGTGCATGTCGCCAACGATTTGTTCTACCAGGAGCAGGTTGGAGTCTCTTGTTGCTGGGGCTTCCCAGGCTGCGCGGCCGGGCTTCTTGAGGGAGGAAAGGCTCTGGAGCTGGGCTGCTCACAATCCAGCAGGGAAAGCTGACCCCCCCGCTTGGGCGGCTGGACAGAGTCCTTGGGCCCGTGACGGCAAACCTGTGGCATGTGTGCTACAGGTGGCACGCGAGGCGTTGCCCTGTCAGCTGATTTTGGCCCTTCATTTTCGGCTGTTTTTCACCCTCAGGAGCCTTCCCTGAAGTCTCCGGAGGGCAAAAAACGGCCC